ATATGCTTTCTTAAAGAAAAAATTAATGTTCAAAAATTAAACAATTTATTTAAAGATTTGTACTCTACAACCTTCAAAATATAGCAATAGAAGTGGGACAATTCACTTACTTCTACAACAACATAAGAATAATGAGTTAACATTCTTGTTAAACTTTTAAGGACATGAATTTCAAAAAAACAAATCATAATATACTCTTGTATCACTCAAAAAGACTATAAAATCATTCCAAATAGTAATATATTGAATTAGAATGACTATCGTTAAAGATAAAAAGACTAAAAAGTCATGAAATAAGACTAAGGACTAGAAAGAGGTTGAAAAGAGTGAATAAGGCTTCGTTCTTACATCCATATATACTCTCTATTAGAATCTATGTAGTAATGTTTTATAGAACCTCCAACACGTGTTTATTTTATAAGACATGTATCTTAACTTATAAGGCAAATTTTCTATGTGTGCTTCACATAATTAGCTTGTTCTATAAGCTATGAATATGTATGGCATGTGATTAATTTGTTGATCAAGATCCTAATCTACCAATCAACTATAAATACATATAAAGTCAAAACTACATCTAAAAAGCTTCTAAAAAGCTTTTCTAAAATTAATTTATATTTACATACTTCTACTTAATCATATAGATAATTATTAGAATAAATACATATGTCCTTGATACCTAAATAGCTCAATCATCTTCTTCTTAGAAACTCCATTTAATTCTATTTCTCACATATAACATCTTAAATACTTTGAAATATTTCTTCCTTTAAATTGATCAACTTTATAAATCATTGCTTGTAATGCTTTGGTTGCCAAAGTTTCTTTGTAATCATTGCTTTGTTGTTACTACATAGACAATGTAAAAGCTTGAAACATACTTGCAATGGTTGGATTCATGTATATATCTTATTTTTTTAGTAGAAACTCCACTAAAATCTCTACTTAAAGCTCCTCCCATTGCTCTTTCAAAATTCTTGCTCTCATTTTTTATTAAATCAAAATTAAATAAACAAACTCTAGCGCCTTCTCTCTTAAGCTTTTACATTGGATTCATTACTTATGTCGTATTATGTGTATTTTTGCTTGAGAATGTATCAAGCATCTAACTATGAAAGATAAGTAGAAATATAATAAAAAATCCTATAAAATCTAATAGAATCTTAAATAAGCTTTAAGTAATGTTTAATAATCATAACCAAACTTTAATCAATTCAAATTAAATTTTAAATTTATCAATCCAAATTAAATATATAAAAGTCATAAATTAATTTTTTAAAAAATAAAAAATAAATCTTAAAGAAATATTAAAATAATATCTTAAATAAATAAAAATAATATTTTTAAGATACTATAAATCAAAAAAATTAAAAATAATAAAAAGTCTTATAAAAATATTAAAAATAGAAATCCTAAATAAATCTTAAATAAATCCTAAATAAATCTTAATCAAATCTTGAATAAATTTTAATCAAATCCTAATTTAATCTTAATTAAAATCTTCATAAATATTAATCAAATACTAATTAAATACTAATTAAAATCTTAATAAATCTTAATCAAATCTTTGATCAAATCTCAATAAAATCCTAGTGAAATCATAAATCTTAATCAAATCTTGAATTCTAATAAAATACTAATCTTAACCAAATCCTAAATTAATCCTAAGAAAAACCTAATTAAATCCTAAATCATGAATAAATCCTACAGTAAATTGAAAATTCAATAACTAATAATTGTACTATTAATTTTGATTCAAAATTTGAAAGTTTTACAAACTTAAGTTAGCAACTAATACAAAACATTTGAAGAAGATTACACATACCAAATAGATGATAATTCCTAAACTTTAATCAGACCTCCAACAAAAAATTCTAGAATTTGTATAGGGAGGTCTGATTTTGATCTAGGTTTTCAACAAGTTCTCTCTGAGTATCAATTTTTGGTAATTTAAGGTAATATTTTTTAGATCTATTATTAATTTTCTTTTAAATTTGTCAATATTATTTATTTATTTTATTTATTTTGATTTGATTCATTTATTCTCTTCTAAAATAAATAGAAGTTTCTTCTACAAAAGGTAATATTATGACTAAAATTTTTACTACCTTACTATCATTTATCTTTATTTTTTTATTATATCTTCTATTAGGCTCTTCTGTAATAACATCTTTATTCATATTTTTTACTATATAATTGTGTTACCACAAGACAACAGATTATATTAACATAAGGCAATGGATTCCTCATTATCAATAAAAGATACTACAACTTTTGCTTAAATCTTCTTGGAATAAGTGAGAGCTTTCTGTAAAGCTTATAAAGAGAAGAATCATTCTTCAAAATCTTAAATCCAAATTCTGAATATTTTGAAAGAACCTCCAAAGGAGTCCTAAAGAGTGATTGGCTCTTCTTTTTTTTTATTCAAAGAGACACTATAGCTTCATACAAAATCATCTCAAAGTGAATAAGAGCTTTTTAGAAAACCTATAAAGAAAAAAACAACTTCTCAAAATCTTAATTCTAAATTCAAAATATTCTATGAGAAAACCTCTAAAGAAAAACCTTAAAGAGTGTGTGAATCTTTTTTTATCCAAAAAAACACCACAACTTCATACTAACTCCTCTCATTAAGATTTATATCTATTATTATTTTTATTTTATTTCTTTATTTCTTTTTCTTTATTACAAACCAAATTTTTATAATATTATGTATTATTATTACATATTATACCACTTCCCAGCACAAAAACAGGCATGATCCTAATTGAAGCAATGCCATTTGTGACAGCTTTTGAATAAAAAATAATCCATAACACGAGTATAAAAATGTTGTTTTTTTTTATCCAAGCTCATTGTTTATTGTTTGTTACATCCACGACAGATTCTCAAATCCTTCCAGATTGACATACTTTTCTTCATCCATCTGTCTTGAACATTTTAATTTGTTCATTTATACATGGTATAAATATTTTTGGTAACTGAAACAAAAAAGTGCAAAGCTTTGAATGAATTATCAAACTTTATTTGTTCTTTAAAGCATATAAGTTATTATGTACACCAAACATGTGAAGTGCCATTAATTTCAATCATTTTACCTTATACAAAAAAAATTCCATTGCAACTAACAAAGTATGAACTTGATGTGTAATTGAGTAAAATCCAGGCATTAAGAAGAGCATTTTAGGCAGTTCATCAACTTTTTTGGGAAATGATTCTGTTAGTAATTTAGCTAGTTATTTAACAAATAATTTGATGATCATTCCAAGATGTTGCCATTTGATACCTAATGCAATCATTGGCTATTTATATTTAAGTGGAGTTCTTGACATGCCATTGGGCACAATTCAATAATCTCCTGTAAGAATGCAAGAGTTTGAACTTCTCAAAAAACACATCTGTATCCATGCATATATAATTGAAGACATTGGAATATTAATTTGCTACTTGATATCAGATTGTGGATCTCCAAGGTTTAAACACAACTCCAATGCAAATGCTAAACTTCACATGCATTGTTCTTTCCTTCTACATCCAAATCACATGCAGTCTTATGAAAAAAAGCTACAGCTTTATAATTTGGGTTACATGCAAACAGCAAAAACTGTTTCAAAAGCACAAAGAGGTGGAAGTGCTTTCCACAATCATTCAAACTTTGTATAGTTCACAAGACTTCACACTCCAAGAAGAAATAAAGTCCCCCTTTCCTCATGTATATACATAATTATATATATATATATATATATCCAAGTTCTGCACAACATGTGAATCAAACTTCCAGAATGAGCCAAGGCTGTCATATAAAAAATAAAAATAAAAATAAAAACAAAACAGTAAATGTCAACTTTTGGATCATGAAAGATGACAGGTGGATCACCACCCCCACCAACCACACATATTTAGAAATGCACAGTGACAGGGTGATTGGCATCAAAGAACTCATAAAAGAGAGCCTTCACTGAAGGTGTGGGCTGTCAAGTACCTGGAGGCCCACACTGCCTAGTTCCCACAGCTTCAGTGCAGGAGCCCATGTCACAATTTGGGGGCTCATCCCAAATCCCAATATGTGTGTGGGGGTGTGGTGGTGGGTGTCCCTCTCTTGCAGTCCTGAACACACACCCCTCTCCACTCCCTCACATCCCTGTGTCATTTTTCCAGTGCCCAACTGGATTAGTTCCAAACTGGAATCAGAGCATGGGCTCGGGAATGGTCCCATACAGGAACAGGATGCCATAATCAGAGCATGGTAACACAAGCAGGGCAATTCTACACGGAATCCCCTGGTAGTGGAAGAGGTCCTTTTGCCATGCAGTCTGATCCCCACTCCCCTCCCTTGCCCTAGATTCTGTTTGTACCCTATGCTGAAATTACAATTCTGGAAGCTAAAGTTTGTGTCAATCACAAGGACATGTACTGACTCTCTCAGCTTGTTCTTTTTCTTCTTCTTCTCTTTCATGCTATGGTTGTGAACCTTGAACCCAAGTTTCAATTGTAGACCCACCATGATTTCACTTGTTACGTTACAATCAGATCCTGGGGAAGTGTCACTCGTGTGCACTTGCACAGCAGTTTCCACTGCCTCCTGAAGTGGGAATTGAAGTCCTCACCTGGCTGCGTACAACTCCCCACATAAAAATGATGCACACATGAGCCCAGAGAATGAAAAGTTCGTTGGATGCACCACGCGGGCTAAATATACAAAAAGCATTTTAGAGTGTACCCAATCAGGGAGTCCTATATCATCACGTCAAGGCTAGCAAATAGGAAGCCCGGGGGGAGGGGAGTGTGATTCCGAAACCCGATTTGCCGTTCAGAACCTGCGAGCAGGTGGGTGGGAGGCTTGGCAGTCTTCAGCCGGCTCTTGCGGGGATATTCAATCCTGGCTGGCCTAGGAATGCTCAAATGGGCTAGTGTCAGTCAGTTCTCGCAAGTCTCGACCCACGCACGAGAAAACTCGCCCTTCGGTACGGATCCTTGCGTATCACCTGGCGCACAAGGGGATGGCCCAGATTCAGGATCCGCCCCAGGACAACAATTCCTGTTTTCTCAAAGATTTTGGTGACAACCACAAGAATGTTAGCCTGGGTTTAATCACTAACCACTCATTTACCTAATGTAGACTCATTACTTATGTTTCATTAACATTTACGCTCGTTTTTAATAATAAAATGAAGAAATGGTGAAAGTGTTTGTCGGAAAATTAGGTACCATTCGAGCGTCTCAGGAGTGAGGGGAGACGGGTCTTGGGCTGGGTAAGTGAGTCTTGGGATGCACAAGGGTGGTCTCCGCTAGGAAAACGGCTGCGAGGTCCCGCTCGCTGCTGCGGGGCCGCAGATCTGAATGCCGTAAGAAACATGGTTACGCATTTTCCCGGGCTGCTGGGCTCGGAAGGTGGCTCCAGGTTCTTGGCTGAGTTTGCGAGGCTTGAGTTTGGTGGTAGAAGGGACATCGGGAGCCTGTGCACTGACAGAGACAGACACGCACGGATGGGAACATGCAAGCAAGGCGTGTCATGTCAGCGCGCATGTCTTGACTTCGGGAGCTCTACTAGCGGGTGATCTTGTACCGCAGCCGTGTGTTGTGTTCCCGCGTGGTGATCACATCGTAAGGTTGTGTCGTTGTGGGAGTTTTTGTACTATTCCTGAGCTTTTGGGTTATTCTTTTGCGCCAGAGTGCCTTTTTGCCCCATGAGTGCTTCATTCCCTTCTCTTACTCAGTGGGTGGTGACTGGTGAGGACAAGCTCTGCTAGCACTATAATTTTCTGTCTCTCATTTTCTTCCAATTTTTCTTTTGCAGAATTTCAAATGGAAGCGTTGGAGGGTTCGAGGTCTGGAGAGCATTTCAGGGGATGGAGCGTAGATCTGTGAAGAAGAGACTAGCAGGCTTTGACTCTGAGATCGAGCCTGAAGTGAGCGGAGGAACGTGATTTTTTTTTTTTTTTTTTTTTTTTTTTTTCATTTATTATTTAATTTTTTGGGGAGATTGTAGTGGGAACTTGGGTTGGCTTTTGAAAGCACTGTTGGTGGTGTGGATCTCGTCGAGGCACCCTTCTCCGTATTCCGTGTGTGGGTGAAGTCAGCGGTTTTGGTCTGGGTTTGGATCGGGAATTCGAGGATCATCGGTTCAAGAATCTGGGGTTCAAGAATCTGGGTGGGAGGCTCCACCATCAGTGCGCTTGCAGGAGTCGTGTGATATTGGAACTGTAGAGGGCAAATATTGTTGCTAGGATTTGGTAGCTCTCGCTTGGATCTGCAGTTGAGAGGTGCGGAGGTTTTGACTATTAAATTCTGCTGCAAATTAATGTACCAACCCTGCAAGCAAGGTCATTAGAAATTGGTTGAGCGATTTGGGTTGGTTGTGATTCAAGATTTTCTTGCCATTTGGGGTAGCATTTCTTACGAGACGGAGTGGACGGTGTTAGGGTTAACATGTATCATTTCTAAGCACTCCCAGGTTGGCACACAGTATACGTGTACCGAGTTAGTTTGGGGAAATTTAGGTTCAGGGTTGCCAAGGCCGTCCGGTGGTAGAGAGAATGATGAACCATTTAAGGATAGTTAGTTTGAAACATCTATGTTCCCTGGGAAATTACAGAGTGGTTAGCGTTTTCTATTCCCCGCGAGCACTTGCCCTTTGGACAACAATATGAACGCCTCAAAACGCACCAATTGCATTCCAGGAATAGTTTCAGAGTAATGAAAACTTTAGTATCTGTCTGTCCTGCAACTTAGAGCGTGGGTAGGAAGTAATCAGCATTGGGAGCGGACACTAAATTCGCTCGCGTTTTCCATAGCTATTCTAATTCGTCGTATTAGATGTAGCGGGAACTTGGATTACATGTTTCGAGCAGCTTGGATCACGGTATGCCTCATCGCCGAGGCCTTGCATAATGAGGGGTAACTTTTTGGAGCGCTTGCTGGTGGAGCTGAAGCAGGATCAGTTACAGGGTTTACAGTGACAACAGCATTGGATCAGAGGAGGATTGTGTGATTTTTTTAAGCTGCTGTATCGAGGAGATGAATTGGTGTGCAATAGGTGGGAATATAGCAGATGAATCGGTCATGAGCTATATCGGAAGCGTCATTTTCATGGTGAACTCTCATTTCCTCACGTTGTTCCATCGGAGCTTGTGAGGAAGTATGGGTGGCAAAATTGGATCGGAGGATGAGTTTCACGAGACTTTGGAAGATATCACGTCAGCATCAAGTTCAGACGCTGAGGAGGGTGGTCGAAGGTCCATGAGAGCACGTGTTGCCGGAGTAGCTCCGGCGACTAGCCATGAGCGTCCGCCTATCTGGACACCTTCCTCATTTCATTCCAAATTCTCTGTGTGGAAGGATGATCCAAGTAGTATCACTGACCGCAGGCAGCGTTTGTTCCAGACTTGGGGGATCAAAAACCTGAGAGAGGAGTCCAATACTGGCTCCGCAACTTCTTTGGCAACGAAGAGATTATTGCCGGCAGAGAATATTAGGGGCGATCAACAGGTTGTCAAAGTGCCTAAAGGTGTCTCCTGTACAACTGTCGCAGATGACGATGTGAGTGAAAGCCATACCCTTTTGGTGTGTCCAATTTTCTGAGTTTAAGTATGACCGTTACGTTTCTTGCAGGTAACAGTTTTGGTTTCACATGACATCTGAAATCTTCTCAGCAGATTACACACTCACACACACACGACACGCATATATATATATATATATATATATATATACACTCCGCAATTTTTAAGGGATATTTACAGTTAGTTTTACACTGGTTAAATACTTCGTGAGTAATGTTCTGTAGTTCGCCTGTATCAAAAAAATTATCGTGCGTGTCGTGCGAGATACTCCTTTTCTCCTTTTACAAATACCGTTGATTGTGGTTATCTTTGAGGGGGTTTTCAACTCTAAGGGCACGAGGTTGTGGATTGAAGAGTTGGATTGCTCCCAATTTCCTATACTGAACCAATGCTTCAAATGTGAGGAAAGATACATGTCCCAATACACCAGTTGATTAAGAACGAGGTTGCTCACTATCGACTAGGCATAGATTTTGTGACTCTTGTTCACATATTCTTGCTTATGCAGGAGAAATCTTCTCGTGGAGCATGTGATGGGGCAGAAAAGGCAGCAGACCGCAACTCCGTAGGGAATAGCTGCATGAGTACGATCGACTCTGATAACAAGAGACTGCAAGAGAACAGTGGGGCGGTCTTGAGGGAGGGGAATAACAAACTAGTTCCTGTGCTTACCAGATTAGGTCCAGTTTCAGCAGTAATTTGTCGTGATGGGAGTCATGGGATTACATTCAGGAGCTCGGGAAGCAGTCCCGACGTTAGTCCTTATCGAGAAGGTTCCAGCAAAGTGTTGGCAAGCCCCGAGGGCAGCCTTTCACCTGTAAGGAATGGTTGCGCACACACGGAAGCTGGGGACCTACACCAAGTTTCCAGTTCTCAAGAAAAATTGCCACATTTGTATGACACTGACAACGGCTATGAGACTAGAAGCCAAGATGGCTTTAGTGCAGCTGAGGATTATGGCATGGATGATGTTTTGAAGATTAGAGACTTAGACAGTGGGAAGGAGTTCTTGGTTAACAGACTCAATAGAGATGGCTCGCTGCATATGCTCAGGGAAGTGGATACAGGTAGGGAGCTGACATTGGCAGAATTTGAAAAGGTCGTGGGGCTTTCTCCGATCACCCAGGAAATGATGAGGCGTCAACGAGCTGCAGAGAGTGGGATCAGTAATGAGAAACATCGGTCGGGTAAAACCTCAGGGAAGAAGAAAAATGGTTGGCTCAAGTACTTTGGATCGAAAAAATCTACAAAGGAGAAACCTATCAGCGGAGGTAGTACAAGAAGTGATAATCATTCGCTCAGTGGTGAGGATACCGATGGATCTTCGAAGGGAGAAAGACTTTCTAGGAACGGATCTTCGAAAAGAGGTAACTCTAGAGAAAGCTCATTTGCAGATACTGATAGAGAGGGCTCTACGAAGGTCGGGATTCCAGCTGATGACTCTACTGGCCCTTCTTGGAGACAGCCCCAGAAAGTGAAAGTTAAACTTCGTCGGAAGTCTGTCAAGGATCTTTCAGACTTACACATGGGGCAGGAAATTCAAGCTCATGAAGGGGTGATATGGACTATGAAATTTAGTCCGGACGGACGATGCCTCGCTACTGCTGGGCAAGACCATATCATTCATGTCTGGGCAATCATTGATCATCCATCTGTTTCGGAGCCTGGTATGTCCACTCAAAATATTGTCGTTGATGGTGTTGTTTTGTGCACTCATTACATCGCTGTTGATAGTATGGTGCTGGCTGTCTGGTTTTATGGCCCTTAGAGATTGGGTTTTCCTGCAGATTCCTCTCATGGGCAGGAGAAAGGGAATTTTGGAAATGACGGGTTGGGCAAGGATAGCAGCGTAAGAACTAGTTCCAAAAGTGACAAGGAAGGGAGTACCAAGGATGATAAAGCTGAGAGCATTAAGGTAGATGAAAACGGGTGTACCAAGTCCGCTAAAGAAGGGACAACTAAGGGTGCTAAGGAAGCAAGTCTCAGAGGTGGAAAAACTTCATCGCAACCAACGAAAGCTGGTCATTCTGACAAGGATCCTTTACCGAATCTCTTCTGGTTGTCGGAGAAGCCCATGTGCTCTTTTCAAGGTCATACCGGAGATATTCTGGATTTATCATGGTCGCAGTCCAAGGTATATTTTGGTATACCAAGTTCATTTGTAGCTCTTTAGTGTAGAGTAACCCTAAAGAGTGGTTTTCAAGAATTACTAACATGCTGGTTCGCGTGGTGTCTAATTGCAATTTCGGTTTGAGCAACTAGTGTTTGGTTGTGTTTGACAGCTTCTTTTGTCCTCATCAATGGACAAAACTGTTCGGTTGTGGCACATTTCGGAGGAGGAGTGCTTGCGGGTCTTCTCTCATAATGATTTTGGTGAGTAACAGTGTATTGCTACATTTTAGTTAAATACTAATATATTGGTCTACATTGATTTTTATCGAACAGGTTTAACTATCTACTATGGGTGATATGTAATTCGGGAGGTCCTGCACTTTAATTCACCAATTGAATGAGCTCAGGGTTAATTTTTTTTAAACTGTGTCTTGATCACCAATCTCAATCCATTTGGAATAACTGTACATTGCTAACATGCAATTTAGATTGGAAGTGAGGTGGGCTTCTATATTGCATGCTTAGTGTGGTTCCTGAGCAAGATTTAAAGACGTTTTATTTCTTGAAGTTTTTCTCTAACAGTTCTCCATTAACTTGTTATGGAATGCAGTCACTTGTGTACAGTTCAACCCAATCGACGATAGTTACTTTTTGAGTGGATCACTGGATTATAAGCTTCGTACTTGGAGCATTCCTGGACGGCAAGTTGTTGATTGGGTTGATCTGCCAGAAATTATCACAGCAATCACCTACAGTCCTGATGGAGCGGTATTTCTCCATTCCCTGTTGATTTATATTGTGCCTCGTCAAAAACAATTTATGAGATGTTTGTTGGTGGTAGAGTATCTAATTAAGCATTTTGTATGGCTCCCAGAAAGCAATTGTTGGTTCACACAAAGGGACTTGTCGCTTCTATAACACGACAGGTTTGAGTTTTATCCCTTTTCGTGGGTTCAGTGATTTCTTAGGATGAGGATTACTCGTGGCGAAGATGTTCTGATGTCGATTCTGGAACGCTTATGCAGTTGAAGAGTTCGTTTCGTCTAGTCTTCTAAAACAGTTTTATTGCACTGTGTAACACAAATGACAAGGGAATTTCTTGTGCAGGAAACAAATTGCAGCTGGATGCTTCTATTGATGTTCGCACTGAGAACAAGAAAGGAAGAGGAAAGAGGATAACTGGAGTCCACGTAAGATATTGTTAATGATGTTACCATCTTTTTCATGTTATGATATTAACAGTTGATACACTTTGATAGATTTAGACTGTAGTTCGTATTACCAATTTTGAGGTGACTTTGCTTCTGGATGTTACTTCAAGTATTATTGCTGTCGGTTGACAAACGTGCATCGGAATTGCGATATTCATTACTGACATCTCGTCATCTTGCAGTGTATGCCTGGGGATCCGCAGAAAGTCCTCATAACTTCAAATGATTCTCGCATTAGAGTCTATGATGGTCAGGAACTTTGTGCTAAATACAAAGGTTTGTTCAAGTGCTCTGTGCTGATTTTGGTTTTTGGAATAGTACAAGTTATTTTCTCCTTTCCTTGATATTTACACCTCTGAATATCATTTTTGATCTCGTTTCTAATGCGTACAGTTATTTACAAATTACTAGCACTGTTGCTATTTCCAATTTGATCATTGTGTTCACAAGCTGAATCTTTCTGGTTCATTGTTCTTAATATAGGTCTAAAGAATGTGAACAGTTTGATCTCAGCGTCATATACTTCCAGTGGAGACTATATAATCAGCGCAAGCGAGGATTCAAGAGTTCTAATTTGGAGTTCTGATAACAAAGATCCATCCTCTGCCAAATCGCTTTATCGAAGGGATAAGCAACTGTCTTGTGAAGAATTTAGCTGTCATCTCGTTTCGTTGGCTATACCGTGGCCGGGGTCTAGAACTGTTTCAAGTTATTCAGAGCCGGGTAGCGGAACCTCAGCTGGGTCTGACAGGATTGACAGCGCACGTGCGGCGAGCGAAATTGATCCTTCTTCCCCTCGAAATGACGCTGGCGTTTTTGGCAGGGAACAGTCCGACGAAAAAATTGCATCTTCTGATAGGTTTCTAAGTTTTAGAGATTCTTCAGACAGGTTTCTGAGTTTTAGAGATTCTTCAGACAGGCTTCTGAGTTTTAGAGATTCCTCAGACAGGTTTCTTAGTTTCAGAGATGAAGTGGATGAAATGGATGAAGAACCCGATGGTGTTGTTCAAGGGGATAGCACGAGGTTTGACGACGTGAAGTTCGAGAATCAAGGTTCTGTCTCAGGCGATGGCGAGGATTCTCCTCCTCCCCTGCATTCGTGCAGGAGCTTCTTTGTTGACAGTGAACCTAATGGATCGACCACGAGATGGTCGGGAGAACAGCCTTCGGCATTCGGCAGTCCTTTGGGCTCTGGACCCGGCCTGATGCGCTCAGCTTCGCTGGGTAGTGATGACGGCGGGCGCATTGTTGAGGATTCAAGCCCAGGCAAAGCCACTTCCCTGGTTTCTGCTCTGTGGGGTGTAGTCATAGTAACTGCAGGGTTGGATGGCAAAATAAGAACCTTCCAAAACTACGGTCACCCTGTCCGGCTTTGAGTAGGAGGGACATCTAGCATTTGATTCAGTGCTCAGGATGAATTCATTTATGTCCAGCGTCTTTATCCTCTTTCACGAGATCAATCACAAGTTGTGATTGTCTATTCTTTGTGCCTTCCAAGGTTTCACAAAATTATTTCCAGAGTAATATGTTAAATTGCTTTACTTTAGGAGTAATGTGTTTAAGCAAGTTAATGATGTGCAATGATACGCAATACAATAGTGAACCCAACCTCAGTGCAGAACTCATAACAATTTTCAAATCCATCAATCAGTTGGATGTCACTAGACTATTGCAACTTGAACTATCCATTCAAACAAGAATTTAAATGGCAACAAAGAATTTTTTTGGCAAGACAGCAATAGAATATGTTTTTTAATGAAAGAACGAAAAAAATGAGTGGCGTTCAGAACTTTTCAAAGAGATTTCATTGATTTGGAGATTTTCAATTTTATTTGTTTGTTAGGACTGACATAAAGACACATTACTATTTTAATACATTACTACTTTGTGGCATAAACATTGAAGATATTGACACAGTTTTCTTCCTCTCACTCTTTCTTTCTATCTTCCTCTATTATTCATTTAAAGTTTTTTCATCCTTTTTTGTCTTCTCCTTTATCATTACTGGAAATCAAGACAGTTCAGCACAGAGCCGTTTTATTTTATTTTATTTTATTTTTAATCAGCGTGAGCTCCAGTTAGTTTGTCTAGGAGATTGGTTATCCCGATCTTGTATTCCTAACAATGCAACAATTTAACGACTGAGTCTATCAGAACTCTTGTTATGCTTCGAATAAGTCCTCAATAGCAAGATTATTGAAACATTTATCTATTGATATTTACCAGGATTAGGCTTTATACTTTATGCCACATCAACTTACACGCTGCCTTCATCTACGTCACTGCTTGGTAACTACGTCACGCACTCATGTCCTTATCGTCCAAGTTTCTCACACTCTCGAATACGTTGGAAATAGCACGAAGGGCGAAATATCTATCAGAGTAGTTTTTCCCTTTTTTGAGCGCTGAAGTGTAGGGCACACTGGGAGGATTACCGAAAGGAGCTGGAAGAGAAGACACCATTCTGCATGCCAGCCTGTGAATCATGGTTGCCTCTTCTAAAAGTCTTATGACAACCATTAGGCAGGGTAAGAAACCCCATCATTGTACCTACGAAGTCTTTCCCATCCTCCAGACACAACACTTGCCTGGTTGCTTTAGAGAAAAGCAGAGTGGTGGGGATATTTAGATCCGGCTCGCATGGTGGCATGCAACAGTTAACACAGAGCTCTGCTTCATCCGGATCTGCCATAGCCACAATAAGTTTCAGACCATATTGGGGTTATTGTCCAATACAGACATGAGTTTCACAACCTGGCAGACATTACGTGGCTCTAGAGTAATGTTTTACATCGACCAGTGGGACTCTTGACGCCATCCTGCCGAGGGTGGCGCCTTGTTTTAAGTACAACCAAGTATATGCTGCATGTTGTAAAAGTTCCACGGAATTGATGCCCCACAGCCGACTGCTGTGATGATGAGTATACTTGTTTCAAAATGAACTAAGACGACCTTCAACCCGTTCCAGGCATAAAATTAGTCGAAGAATCAGTTTAAACTGATTTCTTTGACTCGCTTCATAACCAGATTTAGGCTCCATCCATTTGGCAACAGAAGACAGTTGAGCTTTATTCATCCGTGGAATTTCACGAGAAGTAGCAATAGCATGTAAGATGTCCTGCTGGGGTGGACAAAATTAAGCCTACAAGATCACTAAAATTACCACCACACATATACTTTGAAAGTATGCAAAAGGGTAACTCGATGCAAAGAAAAATGTGATTGCAGTGGAATTACGTTACACGAAAAACTGAGAATTGAAGCACCAAGTGATAGAAATTATTCACATATGTAAGGCTTAAGCCCACATTGATTACTTCCAATGAACATAACTAGAACGCGCTGTTAGAGCGCCCAAGAAGATCGCAGCATCAAAGCAGGAGTTTGCGACTGTTTATTTAGGAGATAAACTAAACCAGGTTGAAGTGTAAAACCACGCCCCATGTTGAGCTTCATAAAAGCCTCCATTTGCAGTTGCATGTCACGACGTTCACCTGATAAGAATAAGAAAGCACAAAACAAACATAAACCAAAGTACGAACCCAACTCTCTCGGTCATCCAATTCATTATCTGAATACTTCTGGAGGTTGTGATCTCTTGAGTTTCTCCAGTTCCTTCACAAGCAAGTGCATATTACTATAAAAAAAATTGTGACAAAAAGTTAGCTGTGAACAGAGCTTAGCGTTAAGGGCTGAGAAACACACCTAAACCGTGAAGGCCATCATCTTCGTTTCCGCAGAGATCCACTTTAGAGCTTCCCACACACAGTCCCCAGCCAGCCGTTTTCCCGACAGTCTTTGTGAGGCTTACACCCCATTCCACACCGCTCCTCTCGGAATCACCAAGCCAATATCCTCGGTCAGCCTATAACAGATGGAGGAACTTAGTTGAATATACAGAAAATAATTGCAAATAAGATAATGAGAAGCCAACCTCAGTACACTCTCACAGTAGAAATGAGTTATGTCAATGACCACAGAGAAGCCACACTGACCTGGGTCCAGCCTGCGAGGTTCATATTTGCACCTACATCTATTTCTCCAGCCAACGCAATTGACTGCATTGTACTCCCACGAGTTCCTGAAACAGTAACAATGTTTTGCTCAGGCTCACCGTAAGGTGATCCCCACGAAGCATAATTAGACACTCCAGATGGATTGTCCAACGATGTTCGGAAGTCATGAAACGACATGTTGTCCATGGATGTTCCACGATCTCGGGGACTGCTCATCTGCGGACTACTAGAGCCAGATTTTTGTTTACGACGAGTCTTGGATAGAATAAGAGGTCCCATTTCACTCCAGTGTAGTCCTCTAGAAGAAGGTAGTGGAGGATTGGGCCAGAAGCGATTAACTGCTGAGACAGAAAACACAGAGTTCTCCCATGGTTGAAACATGATGTGTGCAAGGGTGCTGAGATGTAGAGGTCCATTATCAACCGGTCCGCCAGATGAGGATGAACCAATGCCCCAACCTCCAAGGTACTGAGACAATGATACAAGTGCCGAATCTCCCCTGAAGGTAGCTCCCAGAGCGGAGCCCACACATTGCTGATACATATCAGGTCCTACTCTTGCAAATCGTGTCAATGCCTGATCCTGTAGACAATCATTTTCAGAAACACCTTCTCAAAATCTTGACCGTGAGATCTGCTTCTGCAATATCTGCATACTTGGTTTACTAGAAAGCATTTGTTCATCATCATCGTTCTGACCTGTAAAGGATTCACAATCTCCGTTATGTCACTAACGCGAGCTCCCACTGGCGCAACCACAACATTAAAATCATCCGTAACTTGAGCATTGTAAGCAAGCTTTGTGACTGAAATGGGCCCCCCAAGTATGCTGCCGTCAATACCAGGATACCCAGCGGAACATTCCGTGATCATCGAATCCTTTTCTCTGTAAGCAGTCTCAAAAGTGAAGCGCACATTCATGCCTGTGTGAAGACCAGCTTGCTCAACAGCGGCCCGAGAATATCGACTACTTTGATCATCTAATAAGACGAAAGCCCCACCGGCACACACTTCCCCCTTCAGCCGAGTCTTGGAAGCACCTTCAGCTGATGAAGATTGTGACCTTGATTGACGTAAACCTGTATGAAATTCAAGCTTGTCCAGTCGCTCTCTCACTTTCATTAACTCGAAAAATGCCTCACGCTGTAGTCTTTTCAAAGCGTCTGTCTGCATGAATCGTCAACAGAATTAACCAAAGCAGATCTAGTAACAACGCAGAATGATGCATCTATCAGGTGCTCCAACACGTTTCATGTCACTAGCACAAATAATGCATTGAAGTTATTGGGAATTCTTTGTGTTAACCGAGACACTTTAAATGCAAAAAATCCCTCTTGGATGGTCTTTTTCATGTGTGACGTTTACAAACGACCTTTCAGTACAGCACTTTAAAGAGTTGAAACAGATTGAACTGAACCTATGTCTCACGTTCACAATGTAGGAAAGCAATGAACTTGGTATAATCTGAACTTAAGTGAAGAGAAGAGTTTACTAACCGTGAGACAGTGCGTGGTTTTTGGTATAAAGTACAAGAGATCTTAGATTACAAACCTCAGAGCGTTTGGCAAATGCCGCGTCTCCATCTTTTTGCTGAATAAGCAGCGCCGCGTGTGCCGCAACCTCCTCCACCAACGCATCTCGCTGATTTTCCTTTCCAATATAACCACCCCGAGAACCTGTAGATTTGAACGGGGAATAATCAAGAGCTCAATCTGGGTCAACAGGCTGACAACTAACACCAGGAGGTAGAGAAAAAATCGAAACGCCGTCAACCAGGCCAGCAACTTCCGTTCATCTCAACGTCACCTAAGACAGGTAAGGCACATTGAAAACAGTGGTTTTCCAGAAAATAGGATCTTTTCAAGAAGTTCTGATGACTGCCATTACTAGGATATGAACATCTGAAAAAAAAATAATGTGCAGCCTGATTGATTATGCTTAAACCGCACCAGCCTACCCTTATCAGGAGTTTTCGAGAGCACACTTGCAGACGTCTCCTCCGCAACCCCAGGTCTCTTAATTCTTCCAAGTAACAGGTCAGCAAGGGGTGCCTCTCCATCTACTGCCTCTCCTGCCGCGGAGCTCAAGGATGCTAAAACCGGTGCTCGAAAATCTGGAGATCTAACAGGAGTTTCCTTATTGCCATGCTCCTCATCTCCAAATTCCTTCTTGTGTACACTTCTAACATGAGTTCCATGACCCGGTGAATTGAATTTCCCGCTCCCGTCATCGCCACTACTTCCACCCCCGCCCATTCCTCCATTTCCATATCCTTTTCCGCCAAACCCATCTCCAGTTCCAGCGTCACCTCCACCACCAAACTCCAAAGCATTTGTTCCAGAATTCAACCCATTTTCCCAAAACGGCTGCCAAAAAAGACTACTTGTAGATGAAACCGCCAGAAGAGGATTCCCCAAAATCCTGTTCCTCCACTTACTCCGCCACGACTTAGATTCTCCACAGCTCTCCGCTGCACATTCACGCATGTCTCCTCCATCACGCCCTGAGGGCGACGACGACTGCTCCAATTTCCCCAAACTCCTCGCACCTTTCTTCACTAACAACGACCTCCTGGTAACGTTACCCAGATTCAGCTGACTAAAACCCACAGCTCCGCAGTCAAAACCCCCTTCAATTCTCAGACTCTTCGACGCTACAGAAGACGGATTCAATCCAAAACCACCAATAGACAGTCCACTGTTCCGAGGCTTCTCCACAAACCCCTTCCCCTGCAACTGCAACACCGCAGGGGAATGCTGCAACAACCCTAAACCCATGACACCCCGGAACCCACCCAAGTATCTGCCACCAGCTTCAAAATTCAACACCGGCAATCGTGCAATCACCAACTCCAGGTACCCAGGTAAAAAATCATACTGTCGACATCACCGTAATCAACCCCATCCTGTTCCAAAATTACGTTTCGCCTGCCTCTTGCAAATTTTCTGCGGTGGTGTGACCGGCATCATCTGGTGATTCACCACATGGCCTGGTTAGCATCACATTCCTTGTAGATCTTCGTAAAAATGTATTCTCCATGAGGTAGTGAATCAGTCACGTCTGGCTCAATGGGGCGCTGAGCACTAAGTTAGAAGCATTTGCAGCGTACTCGCTTCAACAGAGCAGCGGCTTATCTATTGCGACGGCTGACGGCGTCAGTGTATCCAGGACATAGCGTGAAAACAAAGGCAATCCTCGAGTTTGTGTAGACACGGTCATGGGACACTGAATCGCCCTGTACAGCGTCCCGCGGGACTGATGGATGGATGGCTTTCGTCTATTCAACGATTCTGTGTGCTTCACTAATGACGACGGAATGGATTTTATGAATGCCAGTCCAACTTTTATATTTATATATCTATTTATTACGATCGCTCAAGGAGACAAGTGGTGGCTCTCATTCACTGCATGCACCTCTATTGGTTTTCATTTAGCATAAGCTTGACCAAAACTCAAGCAAAGTTCACAAGGAGTTCACTAGGGTCATTTTTTTTGCGATTCTGCGACTAAATGTACTCAAGCGGAGTTCACAAAGAGTCCACAAGGCTTTTTTTTTTTTTTTTTTTTTTTTTGTGATTCTATGATTGAATACAATTCAAAATGTGATTCAAAGTAAAGCTGAGTTGTGAGGGGTGATGGGATTTTGCTAGGTGCATGTTTGACCTTGATCTTTGACTATACCAATGAAAGTATAAATGGCGATGAGGCACGGCCCAATGCACAAGCTATTGTGTATTGTATTGTTTTCAATTTAATGGTGTTGAAAATTAGTTGAGTGTGTTGGATGATTATTTATTTTTGATATAATATTTGGATGCAAGATAAGAAAATGTGTTGATAAGTAATATTTGGAGTGAGGTGGATGTTTAATGTGAGTGTAGAGGTTGTCTATTGCAACTATTAATTGTGCATTCTTCTATGTGACAAGACTAAAAACATTGTCTCAAGTAATACAAAACTTTATTTTAGAACCATTCTAGTTTGAATCAAACTCTAATGCAAACATCATGGATCAAATTGTTTGTTACTAACTCATTTCATCATACTATAAATGATCTTTAAACAATCTTGGAACTTTAAATCTAGATGAATAATTGGTAAAAGTAAATTGCTATGTAGTCTTCTTTTAACTTATTTTATAATTGGAATAGATAGATCAGTGTGTATTAAAGCAATAATATGATAGATAATATTTTTATTTATTTTTTAATTTATATTTTTAATATTCTTTAAAATATTAAATATATAAATATATATATTTTTAAAAAGTCTTTGTTTTAAAATATATTTTTAATATTATATGAACTAATTAAGGATATTAAAGAATCATAAATAAATATTTTTACAATATATTGGTAAAATCTTCCTATTCAAGTTGATTATAGTTACACTATTGCTTTAAAATTTTAAATTTTAAAATGATGACTAAATATAGAATAATATTAAAATAACCAAAAGTTTTTAAATGGTGGTGGCTTAATTGTGCATAGCTATTACATATCAATTATTACTAGAACATGCATTAAGAAATTTGGCTCTACATAACTTAGACATGGTTTATAATTTTCTTCCATCAAAATCTTGATATGTCAATATTTGAATGATTTAAAATGACACTTATTGAAACAAGACTAGACTACCACAAAAATCAAAGATCCTTCTAATCCACAATAACATAAGGCCTCATCTCAAAATCAGACAAAATTGACCAAAACAAAACTAAATAAAACTAAACAAAATAAGACATAAAAGACAAAACTAAGCAAACAAAATCAAAATAGAACAAATCTCAATAAAAAGATACAAAACCAAACTTTACTAAGAGAAAGGTTTGAAGCAATATTTGACCAAATGCTCCAAAAGACATTAGCCAATCCTATTTATATCTTATCTATCACCCTAGACTTTCTAAAATATTCTTAGGTGATAGGCCTTATCTAGATAACCACCTTAAATTCCTTTTCTAAAAGATTCTATGATGGGCTCTATCTAAATAACTGCCCTAAGCCTTTTTTAGAAGGATCCAAGATAGACCCCATCTAAATAATCGTCCTAAACTCTTTCTAGAATGTTCCATCATGAATCCTATGTGGTCAATTGAGCTAATTTCAATTCTAGAAACTTCCATGGTTCTATTTATCTATACAATTAACTTCTCTACACCCTGTTGTAATTAATCCCTCTCTGTTAATGTAGAACATCCTCGATTTACTTCCAATGGTATTTCAAAATTATTTCTTGGCAATGGATGAGGTTTTGTACAAATTTTGTCAAAGACATTAACTAAAAGATGATGCATAAACCAATAAAATCAGTATCAAAGAAAGAGTAACAAAATAGAAATAAAGAAGTACGTATATTAAAAAGAAATTAAAATGGCTTACTGCCAAAAGACAAAGAAACTTGAGACTCTTGAAAATAGACTAGAAATAAAAAAGAAGTTGACAAGAGTGAAGTATGCTTCACTCTTGTCTCTATATATACTATGTAACTAGGGGCTACATGGCGACGTTCTATAGGACCTCCAATATGTGTTGACTTTGTAGGACACATGCATTGACTTACAAGGCAAGTTTTTTTATATGTAGGCCACATAGTTAGATTGGCCTTTAAGTTAAAAACATGTGTGGCACATGGCTAACTTGTTAATCACTTTTTTAACCCAAAAATTGAATTATAGACACCTATAAAGTCAAAGCAGTATCTATAAAGTTTCTAGGAAGCTTCTATAGAAGATATTATAGAATTAACTTACTTTTACCTACTTCTACTTACTTCTACCTATTTATATAGGTAATTATTGGCTTACATGTATATGTCTATAATGTTAACTTCCCTTCTAGAGACGAGTTCCACAAAGAGCAGTCATCATATGTTGAAAAAATCTATGATACAATAAATTATATTTGCTACATACTAAGATCTTTATTCTCTTCGATGATGGTTGATAGGACCTTTTAACCATTGATAGTATCCCATACTAAGGCGAGAAGACCACCTTGTTATTTGATCGTTGTTGAGGCCTTCATAACTTTCTTCAAATAAAATATTTGGAACACCATCAAGAATTGTTCCTATTTCTAATAAAATTACCAAACATTGGGAGTCTCTTCCAAGGTTGTGATACCAAATGCATTGTATCTCTCTATCTATTCGAGAAAAAACATGTTATTCTTAAAGATCTTCATTCCAATTGAATCATCTTGAAGGTTGTGACAATTGCAATGTCTTGTTTGATAAGTCAGCAAACAAAGGCTCTTCGGATGAATCTGCTACTTGTTGGTTTTCCATCTCTTTAGTGTCACAACTACAAAGAAGCTACAAATAAAGATTGAAAGTAGAATGTTATCTTATCTAGATCTTGTTTCTTTTAGATGAAAGGTTTTTATCTTGATTTTAATGGATGTTGTCAATGAAAAGCCTCTATTGCCTTTGCTATATTTACAAGATTCTTTATTGGCTCCCATATGCATTCACTAATATCAGATCCGTGCCAATGGACAAGATATACCAATTTATTTTGGCGTTGCCTTGAATCTAGGACTTCTTCCACTTCAAACACTTCATTATTGTCCACTTTTATAAGAGGAAGTAGAACTTGTCTTCTTCGTGGTATATCCATTGTCTTGTATGGTTTAAGAAGAGAGATGTAGAATGTAGGATGGATTTTTATTGACTTTGGTAGGTATAAATAATATACAACTAGATTGATTTGTGCAAAAATAGGAAATGGTCCAAGCCTACGATAGTCCAACTTGTCACAAAAACAAGTGGTCTTGATATTGAAACAAAGTAATCATATCTTGTCACCCATTTGGAATGGAGGTTGTTCCTTTTGATAGACATCCACATTGATCTTTTATTGTTCTTGAACTTTTTTTTAACTATACCTTCATTATTGTATATAGCTCTGATAAATGATTTGTCAAATCTTTCACCGTAAGATTATTAGTTTTTGAAAAGTCAAAAATATCAAGTCGTGGATAATAACCATAATTGGCAAAGAAAGGTATTTATTTTGTAGAAAAATATACTATATTATTATAAGCAAACTCTGCCAATGGCAAAAAAATTATCCAATCATCTTGTTGGTAGTTAATGATATATCTTAAATACTATTCCAAGACTGGATTAACATGCTATGTTTGTCCAACAATTTGAGGATGGAATACAAAATATAGTTTTATATCCAGTTTTAGAATCTTGAAAAGAGTTTGCCAAAATCTTGATATAAATTGAATTTCTTTATAAGATATAATATCCTTAGATAATCCATGATAGCAATAAATGTTTTTAAGAAAGAGTTTAGCTATTTTTTTACTTGTGATAAATTTTATACATGGTACAAAATATATCATCTTGGTAAAATGATCTACTATTACAAATATAGAGACATAAGAACCTGAGATTGGAAGATCCGTGATAAAATCCATAGAAACAGAAGTCCATAGTTATTCTGGAATAGGTAATGGTTGAAGAAGTATGTAAGGTCGATGACAAGGAGTTTTTGACCTTGAACAAATATTACATGATTAAAAAAAGTCTTTCACACCCTTTCACATTTGTGGCCACTAAAAATCTCTGAATATAAGCTTCAAAGTCTTGTTGTATCCAAAATATCTTGCTACTGGAAAGTTGTGATATGCTTGAAGAACACATAATCGTGCTTCTTCTTTTAGAACATATAACCAATCTTCAAAATAGAGTAGTTTATTTTGAACTCAAACTTAGAAGTATCTCGGGACTTAGAAGAAGGTTCTTGAAATTATGAACAAGAGAATCAGAAGACATACTTGATTGGATTTGTTTCACAAGGGTCGAATAAACAATCAATGTTGATTTCATTACTCGAAGATGAAAATGCTCCAACTTCAAAAAAATTATTCTTTGTTGATTAAAAGATGCATCTCCTTCTTTTGGTACAAAATAAGAACATCTAGAAAGAGTGTCTGATAATCCTTGTTGTTTTTTAGATTGATATGTGACCTTAAAATCAAATCTTGATAAAGACATGCTCCAACGAGCTTGGCGACGATTTAAAACATGTACTAACATGAAGTATTTGAGATTCTTGTGATTTATATATACAATGATTGAATTAGAATCGCCTTTAAGATGATGATGCTATTCTTGAAATGAATCTATGATTGCAAGAAAAACTTTGTTGTGGATTTCATACTT